CTTATGTAAGTAGATAACTGTGTAGTTCTTCTCTTGTTCACCTCAAAGCGACAAAAAACAAGATTAAAACAACAGATATCATCACAAAGGGAAGGGCTTACAGACTGCTGGAGAACATGTAAATACTGATGTAGATGCACGAGCAATTTGCTTCAATTTCCACAAAACCTACCTTTTCTTTGAGGTGTGTAAAATTAACTAGGAGCTCACATGTCAAGCAATTGGACATTCCATGGCAGTAGCAAAAGAACATTTAAAATACCAATTTAAAAAGTTACCAAGCTTTTACAGGTGAAGAGTAACTTTCTGTGAATACTTTCAGTATTTTCTATTAACTTATTTTGTGGTTTAATAGCTAACTCTGCTCCCATCCCTTTTGTCTTATCACAGTCTTACCTCGGTAGTATTACCCTAAAATCCTTTCTCAGAGGGATCAGCTAGTCCTTGACCCACTGCAGTTACAAGTGGCAGAGCCAGGGGCAAATCTCTGCCTGAAAAGTTTGAGAGAGTAGCTCTGAACTGCTGGGAAGCAGGTGAACTGGCTCCAGGTGTTGTGAAAGCCTGTGCCCCCAAGTCATGGGTACTATGCACAGGGATGGTTTTAGCAAGCAGAAACATCTTACAAACTCATGACAAACACTTATTCCTCTGAACAGCCCATTCCTTAGCGTTGTTCTGGATAATAAAGCGAAGCAAAATGCTTGGTTGAGTTTTACAAAGATGCAGGTATTGTCTTGGTAAGAGTTCTCTGGTAAGGCATATGGCTCCTTGGAAGTTCATTTCAATGTGAAAAAGCATATATGAAAAAAACCCCTAATCATAAATACTAGTTTATCTTCATGGAGATAAAATCTTTCAGAAAATAACCTTGACTTGGAAAGGCATCTCAACCCGACTTGCATTTTTTGAACCTGTTGCAGTACCATACTGCAAAGGATGAGGCAAATATCTAGTACAGTTTCATGTTCAGTGATCTGTTTGTTAAAGTAATTTCTTCTTGTTGCTTAAGAAAAAGTACATCTTTTAAGTCTATGTTAATACTCCAAGGCTTTCAAAACACTTAACAAATCTGGCATTTGCAGGCTGGTAATATGTTTTGCATAATATCAATAGCCTCTCTTTGTGGCCCATGGGAAAAAGAAATCCTTTTCTTCTTTGTGGTGCATTCATACAGTCGCTCTGTCCAAGATGGTTGCAAGTGGAAACACTTTTTGTCTTTTGAAATCTTAATTCCAGCAGCTCTGGTGTTTTGATGAAGCTTATATATCTAGCCTAAAAGGTTTTACAAAACTTACCTGCATTTTAGTGGGCGAGTCAGTTGTATTTTTTGTAATTTTATGGAGGTTGTGCTGGAATATATTCAAGCAAATGCAAGAAATGCTGTTTGATCTCTTCAGATGGTTAAATTGTGATTCCTGTTAGTGCTGCTTTGGCTTGGTGCACCCTGTTTCCTAGTCAACTGAGGATGAAGTTGGAGGAGCTGGCAAGGCTATGATATTTACATAATGCCTTTTTTTCCTGTGAACCCTGAATGTGGATGGAAACAGCCTCTAATCTTCTTAGTGATCTAAGCAAAGATTGAATGCTTTGGGTCAAGCTGGGGTTTTGGATAGGCTCAGTTAGGAAAAAAAAAATTTAAAAATCCTAGCTCTTCGCAATTATTGGAAATGGAAATATTTACAGACTGAACTAGTTAATGTTAATGTTTCACTAGTTGATAATATTTTTGTTATTTCACCAGTTTGCAAAGACCACATAATCTGTTTTGAGCCATACTTTTTGAGACTTCTTGGAAACAGAACAAACAGCCCTTGTGTTAAGCTCTGGGCACTGTTCACATTCATTCCCCTTAGGTTAGTTTTAAGTTGTATCATGAGGGATGAAAAGGCAAGTGTCAGAATAAGCAGCATACAGAGGCTTCCTTTCCTCGATGAACTCAAAATGACTGGAAAAGACTGCAGATCTGATTTTAATCCTTCTTGCACCACAACTGCTATGACATGGTAAGAGGAGGAGTTTATTAGGTGGCTGTCCTTTCACATCTCAGTTATTAAAACATTCTGACTGGGATTTTTGTGTGTGTTACAGTAACATAGCTTTTCAAACACTACTACCATAAAATTAAAGATTTAAAATCTTTTTTAAAGTGGACAAATATCCTGAACTCAGGCTAGAAGTGACATTTCATGCTTGATTTGCCTTGCCTGCCTGGATTTTGTGGTATTTTTTCATGCAGAAGTTATAGCTTGTCAGGCCTTCTGAACAACATGAAACTACAATATATTACAATGAAAGGGGGGGAAATCAGTCTGTCCTATTTACATTTTCCTTTTTCTTCAGGCTTACCTTCCCCAATCAAAAAAATTCATGTAAAGTTGCTTGACTTAATATTACCATGAGGAGTTGTATTATGTAATGCATCTTCACATAATATAAGATCACTCAGAGACTGATTTTTCAGAACATGAAAGTTAGTAGGAGCTGCTGGCCCTCTTTTAATACCTACAGCATAACGTTTGCAAACCAAATGGTCAGCTTTTTATGTGGTTGCTTTTGTAACTAAGTTCAGCAACAGGCTTTTTTTTTTTTTGCTTTACTTTGTGTTCAATAATAGAATCAAGATTATATCCATCTCCTGCTTGAACTTGTCACCACCGCATTTCATTAACTTTCTCAATATTTGATGCAAATTGTTTCTAATTAACATGCTTCTGAATAAAGAAAAGAAGCATTCTTAAAAACCTGTGTGCAATCTGTATAATAATAAAATTTATTCTCAGCTATGAAGACTTATACCATTTTATGACCTTTTTTGAAATTGCTTTTGCTATTATTATTATTATTATTATTATTATTATTATTATTATTATTATTATTATTGTAAGTGGTGTATTTTAGAATTAAACCTTTTATCTGTACAATAATTAATAACCAGAAATAGCCTACTGAAAACATAGTAAGGCAGGTAAGGACACAATTCATTATTGAGAAAAAGGAACACAAATTAACCATACTCAGAATTTTATCTTTTAAATATTCTAATATTTTCATTAAGTTAAGGGAAATATTTAATAGATTCTCTCTTTGTGGTATGTGTTGTTATTGTTGCACACATTGGAGGTGCATCTGTTTTGGTTTTTCTCCCTTTATGCACAAAGGAGTTGATCTGATATGTTAAAAAGGAAAAAAAGAAAAGAAAAACAAAAAAGGGGAGGAGAAAAAAGAAGAAGAAAGAAAAAAAAGGAAAGGGTGATTTGGTTTGGTTTGGTTTTTCTGTCTACTATGTTCATGTGATTATCCAGAAAGAAATTTGAAGACTGTAAGAAAATTTTGCCCATCCATTATGAAACAGCATAAAATTTGAAAGGGAGGCAATTTCTTGAGCATCTGCCTTGCATTCCCTACATATAAGGAAAGTATATAGCAAGGGATGAAGATATACACACACATATATAAACTTTCCTTATATATATTCTCTTTTACAACTTAAAGAAGAGAGAGAGAGAGAGATGTACATGTAATAATCAGAACAGGACATTGCAGGAGTCCAAATTGTGCTTGTAAAAATTTATCAAAGGAGTTGACCAAATCTGACCACTGAACTCTGCACTGCTATTCTAATGGGAAGAAATAAAAGACAGCAAGAGACCTATGACCTCAGAAAGCAACTTGTCAGTGAGATTGAACCGATCTAAGTCTGGCTGTAGTCAAACACAATTGTTCAGCCCTTCCTCCCTTTTCCCACCAGTGCATTCTCCTTGCTCCTTTTTGCCTGCACTACAAGTGTATCTGTGCCATGAAGAATAATTGTCTCCTGCTCCATTTCCTTCACATTGTTAATTTTTGTCCAAATGAGTAATCCTTTCTGAATTAGGGCATGAACTCTGGTGCCTGCATAAGGGCATTGGTGGATGCTTACAGCTAGAGGCCACAGGACCTCACCTTTTAGTGGCAGTATGGATTTAAGTCAAATGGAAAGCAATATGGAAAAACAGCCTGGGCTTTACATGCATTGTGCCCTTTGTAACCACAGCGTTCACTGTAATAACAGGAGAGATTTAGACAAGTATGCCACTTGGCTAATTGAGGGCTCTTCTGCTAAAGAGGCTTTTGTCTCAAGCTTTAGTTCTGGAGATTTGAATGTAGCCACCCTCAGGTTTTGGCTTGTTCTTGGTTTTAGCTCTATAGCTATACCTACAGCTATATATATAATAAATAACTACTACAAAACCACAGGAACAAGACAAATTTTAGGACCTTGGTAAAGATTTTCTTTTATTTTAATATATAGACCAGTATGATGTATGATATATGATATGGGTACTCCAGTTTTGGTTTTGGGTTGTTGGGTTTTTTTAAAGTGTTTAGGGAACAAATTATTTTATTTATTTTATTCCAGCTGTTTCCAGCTGAGATTTCCATGTTGAAACTTGCAGGTGATGGATTTGACTTAGGGAAAAAAAATATTACAACTATTAGTATCTGTGCTGAGCTATTCTACAGTAATAGAAGCTGGATGTTCCTGAAACAGAATGTTGCTAATAACATTCGGGTTCTCTGTCTGAAATGTAATGGCCTGTCTCAGTGAAACTCTTGTCGGAAATGGGAGCTGCATGATTTACTCTAAAAGCAATTCTGGACTGAGTGCTTATCAGTAATGGTGAATGATTATTAGTGACTTCAGTAGGCTTTCAGAGTTTTACACGTTTAGCAGGTTTGGGGGGTTTTTTTGGTAATGAAAAGGCAATGTCTTGGTTTTCAGAGTTTTCCAGAATGTGATCAACCAGTCCCCTTACCATCCCTACAGAGCTCTTCTCATAAAATAAATAAGAATGAAGGTTTAGAAAATACATCCCAATTTCTGACTAAACTGAAATGTCTCATGGATGCTTGTGCCCTTGATATTCCGTTGCATTCACTTTTATGTTTTCTCATGCTCTGTAGCATTAATGAAAGTAATGGGGCATTGTTTTGATATTGTTATTTATTTGTCTCCCTAGTTGTGTGCTGCCCACCTGCCAACCCGATCAGAGGCTCCAAACCACTATCAAGCAGTATGTCGGGCTCTGTTTGCTGAAACAATGGAGCTGTACACTTTCTTGGCCAAAATTAAAAGTGCAAAAGAGGTAAGCAGTCTGTGAAGATTATCTGCTTTTGAGCTCATCCCTGTGTGAATTCAGCTTACGAAATCACTTCAGTACCCAGCTAGCAGGGAATGTCAGATGCTTGAAGAAATGACCTGTAGTGTTTAGGGAGAGCAGTTCTTCAGCTGAGATTTTCTTTTTCGTTTTGGCCTTTAACCATTTACAAATGTCTTGTAGAATTTGTTATTGATTGTGACTAGTCTATTTAGGAGTAAAACAGAAGATTTTCTTGGAGATTAAAACATTGCATACATGTACCCATTCCTACATGCATGTATGCAATGTATTTGAGTCTAAAAGCTTCTCTGGTGTTTCAGGGATGTTGTGAAGTGTCAGAGCTTTGCTTGTTCTTCCTCATCTCTTTCTCACGAGGGAATTCTCTTTGCTGAGAATTGTCTGAAATTCTTCTTGCTCGTATTTTGTCCCCAGTCAGCAGTTTCTCTTCTGCTGTATGATTTGGTTGTTGTCTGTCACATTGGTTTCACTGCAGAGCCAACTTTAAAAATAGAAAAATTTTCGCCTGCAGGTCACAATGCTTATGTTCACTGCCTGTTTGGCTGTTATTGTTGGCTGAAAGGCCATTCTATGAACCACTGCAATTAGATGATCTGGCTGAAGAGTGACTTTAAAGATGATATTTAATGCAGATAGTTTCAGATCTGGCCTGCAGAATGGCCCTGTGAACAATTGTAGTTACACAGTGCTCGTGCTGGTAACATTGGAAAGCTGATGGGTGAGGGGGAGAGCAGGAAGAGAAACATGCTTCTTAAAGCTGATTTCTTCACCAAAGCCAACTTGTCAAGTAACAGCGCTTTCATAATTTCCTTTAATAAATCCCTGAAGGATTTTCTTTTCTAAGTCAAGATCCACAGTACCTTTGAAAAGCAGGATAAGATTTTACAGGCTGACCTAAAAATTTTGCTGCTGAAAGAGGCAGAGCTGTTCCACCCACACACACATGCTCCCACTGTTTTCCTTCTGCTGGATCTAGGGAACAAACCCAGCAAATATCAAGCAAAACAAAAAAAAAAGAGGAGTTATTCCTTGTCAGGTTAATGAGCTAGATCAGCTCATCAAAGGGTCAGATGAGCCTAAGAGCAGCACAAGAGAGCTTTTATTCTCACACTGATGGTGGAAGATGCAAACCAGTCAGAGGCGTAAGGGGCTGGTGCTCCTTCCTTCCTGGGTGAGATGCATCATCCAAGAGGGAGAATCCTTCAGAGATTTTTTTTTACTGCATTGGGTCAAGTTTCTTCTCCAAATCTCCTCCAGTCCTACTCAAATGGAAAGCAGTTTTCAAACTGAAGCAGTGTCATACCAGGATAATTTCGACAGTGTCAGCATGGCTAAAGAGCCATTTGTTTTCTGAAGTGCCTGTGTTACAGGGCTTCTTCATCCAGTGCCCCTGATACAGGGAACAGTCAAGATACAGTGACTCCATGCTAAACCTGAATTTTGTCTCTTGAACCTTGACATCATTAATTTCACATCTCGGCTTCTAACTACCTGTATATTAATTGAGGGACCTGTGCTGGAAGTACCTCATTTAACAGCTATTGCAAGTCAATGTTGAAGGTCAAAGATAAGACCCTTTGGAGTTCCTCTTTCTGCTGAGAGAGGAATTATGTTTCCAGAAGTTCTTGAACATCTTGGCCACAGAGAGCAGTAATAAGGCATCTCTGTTGTTAATGTCCAAGTAAAATATTGTGGGTTATAACCATTTAAAATCAAGTCTTAACAATAATTTTAAAAAAGTATTAAAAAAAAAGTAGAAGGACATTTTGAATTTGTGAATTATTTAATCACCTTATAATTGGGCATAAAAACCCAACAACACCTGATCACAGCATAGAGCATACTATGAGTTAATCCCAAATGAAAGAAAACATTTGCTTCTCACAGGCTATTAGGCATTGATTCAAAGCACATTTAGGTCAAAGGAAGTAATCCTTGTAGATGGAATTTTGGCCCTACTGAATCAGTAAGAGTTATATTGCTGCACTTTACCAGGGCCAGAATTTTGACCTTTTGATTTCGTTTTACTCTGGATCAGCCCCTCAGCATGCAAGAAATTAAGAAGAAAATTATCTTGGAAGCAGCTTTTGGAATCTGAATACTTTGGGTTTATGATGTGCTTGATCCTTGGTTGTAGCTTTTATCCAACTATAGATTTGGAAGGTATTTAATTTTGAAAATAATGTAGTGTCAAAATTAAAAATCAAGTATAAAGGAAATATGACGTGGAATGCTGTAAATCTTATTACACCATTTTAAAATGGCCTCTATAGTTTATACTTGAGGCAAGCAGGGATCATATGATGACACTAGGTTAGTGCCAGTAAAAGCTGTGGTATTGTTTATGTACTCTTCTGTCTTGCAAATACATAGCAGAATCTTAAGTCACAAGGAGTACAGTTAAATGCTCTTCGAGTAATAAAGATCTTTCTTTCTTTTTTTATTGTCATATGAGTATTGGGTGTAAAGGAGATAAATGCAGAATACTTCAGTGAGGACACTGTTGTCATGACTTTGTGGTGATTGCATTGGCAGATAACTGTGGGGAAAAAACAAGTTACATACATCAACTCCAATTAAAAAACCCCAAACTTATACTGTGTAATATTGTGGTTTTGATACTAAAGATGTCAGGAAGTTTGTACTGTTAGTTTATTTTAAAATGTAACAGCTTTATTTGGAGATCCTGCTTTAGAATCCCTCAGATCGAGACACAGTTGTGGATGTGAGATCGACATGAAACTAAAAACACCAAAAGGGGGGGAGATATCCTCTAAAATTACTTAAAATAGCTTTTCTATGGATAAAAATTACTTTGATATTACTTGAATTCCTTCTAGGGCCACTGAATGGCATCTGGGTATCTGTTTCTCAAGAATGTGAGGTTCATGGTTTTTTGCTCAGTAAACACTTAAACGGCCACCTTCGCTGTAGTGGAAGAAGGAGAATTTTTATCTGCAGAAATTCACTTGCTTGGAGAGAACCAAATCTGACCTACCTGATACTACAGGTTTAGAAGGGAAATAAACTGTCCAAGAGGCAGAAAAAAATACTGCTGTGATGCTGTAGTCAATTTTCCCCTCAAAAAACGTGTCAGTATTTTGAAAGTTGCAGGATTTCATTAGGGATAGATCAGGAGGTAGGAGGGGTGGGTCTATAGGGTCATAATATGTTTTATTACTAATATATATACTGAGGAGTCACATGCTCCCCAGTATATCGTGTGAACATCACCATTATATTGGTTATATTGCAAATGGAGCGTAGTTTCAGTAAGAATTTTACTGGCATGCATTTGGGTGAGTGTATTAATCAGAAATGATGAAGCAATGAGTGACCTGTTCAGGTCATCTCAGTGGATGTCAAATAGAATGTTTAAGGCACTTTATCACATAATTGATGCCATGTGGTTATTTCCAGTCTGATTCCCTGTGTATGAAAGGTCAGCAGTAAAGCTGACTTGAAGACATGGAGATGGTATTTTCATTCTTAAAGAGAATGAAACATTTAGTGTAGTGGATGCACAGGACAGTCCAGAGTTGAGAAAGATGTGATACTACTATTGCAAGAGTTTAAAAAACTAAGCAATTAAAAATTAGGGTAACTAGTAAAAATATTTCTGCGCAATAGCAGCAGCAATTCCATTGGGGTTGAAATTTAGTTAACTAATTTGATCTAACGTCTTTTTGCAAGGTGAAATTTTTCTTGCAAGTTTACTGGGGTGTTTTTTCAGCTTCCTGGCAGCATCTGTGTGCTGCTTAGGCTCTGTGAAAGGTCCCCTTATTGCAGACCCACCCTGGGTACCATTCTGATGTCATCTGGAGGTGGTCTTTTGATCGGCCAAGACCACCTAAGTCTGTGTCCTGTTGTTTAAGCATTTACAGATGATGAGTAAAAGATGGAGTACAACTTGTTTTTCATCTCAAGAAGTGAGCTTTCAAAACTGTAGTAGGAAAACTCTGCAGAAAGGGGATTTTCCCCCTTTTTTAATTTTTTTTTTAAATTGTTTTGGGGGAAAATGGTCCACGAGGTAGAGGAAAGGAACATATATATGGCAAGGGGCAACAGAGTAACTGCTAAAAATGGACCCGTGTAAAAGAAAAGATTCATCTTTTTCAGGATCATCCAGAAGTCATTGAGATAACCTTTGTTGGCACCTTTGTTGGAAAGAACTGTAGGTGCAAATAAATTATGTCCATGAGATAAAGCAAATGTTCCTGCTGTGAAGTGTCTGAAAAGGTCACACACGTTGCTCAGAAATGGCATCAGTTGTGACTGAGAGAGGTGGGGAGAGACTATGCAAGCAAAGGAATGCAGGAATTGCCTCTCTGGATCATAGAGGGGACTCACCTGTGGTGCTGTCCACATTAAGAACCTGCTTTGTTGATATGTTGATGGGATATCTGCCCTAGTCCTCCTTCAGCTCCCCGTTACTACCTGGTTTTGCCTTTTAGTGGAGTTAATGTTCCATGTGGACTTAATGGCTGAGTGAGCCAGCAATGTGCCCTTGCTGCAGAGGAGCCTTAAGGTGTCCTGGGCTGCATTAGGAGGAGCGTTGCCTGCAGGCCAAAGGAGATGATCCTCCCCTTCTACTCAGCACTGGCGAGGCCGCAGCTGCAGTGCTGCATCCAGTTCTGGGCTCCCCAGTGCAAGGGGACATACTGGAGAGAGTCCATGGAAAGGCTAGGAAGATGATGAAGGATTCAAACAGCTCTCCTGTAGGGAAAGGCTGAGAGACCCAAAACTGTTCAGTCTGGAAATGAGAAGGCTCAGGGGAATCTCATCATTGTCTACAAATACCTGAAGGGAGGATGCAAAGAGGACTGTGTCAGGCTCTTTTCAGTGGTGCCCAGTGACAAGACCAGAGGCAGTGGGCACACAGTGAGACACAGGAGGTTCCTTCTGAACATTGGGAAATACTTTTTTTGCTGTGAGGGTGGCACAGCTGTGCTGAGCACTGGCACAGG